GCACTATTAAACCCCTGTGTGTTCCCTTTTACCTCGCCTCCTGTTTTCTCCAGCTCTTACCGCATCGCATAGGGTCTTCTACAAGATCTGACACAGATTTCAGTCCGTGTGCGTGACACTTGGGAAGAAAGTGACACTGATACATTTCTTTTACAAAAAGGAAGTAGAGAAATTCTCTGTGCATGCAATACAAAAAAAAGGGAGAATAAGACCAAGCTAAAATCAAAACTTCAAGACAGCTGCCGCTGAATAATTTGAAACCAGCATTTAATTGGGACTTTGTAAGGGGTAGAAAGTATGTTGCTCTGACAGAGTCGCCAACAGGTCAAAGAATGTAAAATCTGCCAGGTCTGTTTCTCTTTTATAGGCAAATATATTTACTTTAACCCGCCCTTGCACAAGTATTTTCCCTGACTTTAAATCCGGACAGGAAGAAAGAGGTATAGATTAACAGGCTTTTCTAACCCTGAGAAAGAGGAGCACACAGCTTCACCCAAATTCATCTGCTCACTGATGCATACTGTAGTTTCTTACTGACGCGCACACAGATAAATGAGGAATAATTTGGTTGGCATTAGCCCTTTCCCTACACAACCATATTAAATGGTTGTAATTGGAAATGAGACCTGATGAGATCTATCCCCTTGAGCAGCAGGTTACATCAATATTCTGATTGCATCCAAGTTTATGAGCTTGGAGATGGATGGGGGATGGGGGAGTGGAGTGGTCATTCCAGGTACTAGAATAATAATGACCAATATTCTGACAGCATTTCAGATCACAGAGCTTTCAGGGCATGTTAGGCAGGTTTTACGTAGCTTCCTTAGTGTGAAATTAGCTGATCAGAGAAACCACAACGGTCAAGACTCTCACTCGTGCAGGATTTTCCGTTACATCAAAAAGGTCAGCCCACACATCTACCTGTAGTAAAACAGGAACATGTGTAAGAAGAATCCAGCATCCACAAACTATAAAAAGCAATGCAGTTACTTCTTTTTATCCGCAAGAGGCAGGCATGTAGATTTGCAGGAAAAAAACAATTGCAGTGTTTTGGATGAGGCAAGGAGGAATAAAAAAAGGCAACGATGGACTTGATTGATTTCATGGACCCAAGTCAGAGAACATGGCTTTACACAGAGGGTGGTAGGAGTCTGGAACAAACACGATATCCATATATTTCACCCAAAGTAGGCCTCTCATGACACCTCTGATCTTGACCAGCTTGATCTGGCTTCTAAGAACTATGGTGAATCTTAAAATAATGCATGCACACTTAGATTAACGTTGACGCCTGCCTTTTGTAAAACATCTGTGCCTATTTATTTCTCTTCTTTAATTGCCAACACTATCCACAGGCATTGCATGGAGAAACTAATTAAAAAAACAAGGCAGAGGAGCACTGCCCATTTAGAGGAATGTGCCTGCATGGCCATTATAGAATAATGAAGCATCCCTACTGACAGGGAAAAGCAGCTTGCCCAGGGCTAAAGCTCTCAGTTGTAGGGGGCAGTAACAGATTGATGGGGTCTTCCCTCATGCTGGTGGGGGAGTTCTGGCTCCTGTACTGTGGCAGCTGAAAATGACAATGTCACACATCCTGTAGTCAAACAATTACCTTCCCTAGCCTGGCTTCTGTGACTGTGAGTCATGATCTTCTTGCTAAGTAGGTGCACAAATCTTGTCACACTCTATTATCCAATAACTGGCATATAAACACCATCGTTCTTCAGTCGAACAGTCGTACTCTGAAAGTCCTGACCTCCTGCTATCCATTCACATTATACAGCAAGGGTCACAGACTGCAGGAGGCACCTTGTCCTCCACTTCATTACCATTTGCTTACTTTAGAAAATGCTTATGTAGGAGTTGTACTGGAGAACTGCCAGGGAACTTTATTCCCCCTGTTGTCTTAAGTTACTGCTACCATTTTACCTGACATTCAGAGAGATTATTTAAACCAAAAAATCTTCCAGGCAGCTTTGTGAAGACTTTACTCCAGGTAAAATAAGGTGATGCCATCAAATTATCTTTAAAAAATCATAACTCATCCAGCAATTGCTTAGGTATAAAAAAAGAATATGATGGGAAAAATACATTTTGACAGGTCTATCTATATTTGTACCTAGGAATAAAGTAGCAGACGTGAATATAACTATTTTAAATAAGCATGAAAAAAATCACTGTCTGCTGTAATTATAATAAAGGTCTTGATTACTTCCTTCGATTAGTTTCTTTTGGCCCTTGAGACCATTTTCATGATCATTAGGATATGTAAAATTCTGCTAAAAGAACGTCTTTACAATTTATGAGGGCATTCTGAAACTTGCTCCTGCATTCCTTTTTATCAAATGCAGTAGCTCTGCAGCTATTGAGGATAGCTTGGCTACAGCTCATTTACTGCACAGCTTTTTAGGACCTGAAATAAAAAACTGGGACTACTGACCTCTGCATAACCCGCTTCACTATCAACCCTTCAACTCAAAGACCTTAAACAACACAGAATCCCCTTCCGTTCATCAGGGAGGTAAACTCCTGATATACACTGATGTTTGGTTGTGCAACACACTGTTCTGGAACTGTTTGTTCCTCTGGAGAAGCTGGTGAGAGTAAATTTTATAAGAATAAATATGGCAGTCCAGCTGTAGGAGATTGCAGGAAACATCTGCACTGTCCTCCAGCCCACAAGAAGCACCATGATGCAATGTAGACATTTTAACACTGGTTCAGGGCTGCACTTATTTAAACACAATTCCAAACCAACAGAAATAAAGGTTAGCTTACCCAGAGCACTAAGTGGACTCGTCTTCAATTCCTAATGAAATGCACAACCGGGAAACAACGCTGCTTATCAGCACTTACCATTTTCCACATCATCATCCAGTGTATTACAGAATGTTTGCTTGCTGCTCACTCAGCTCCTTCACACCCTTTTGCAATCCATTGCTTTAGACCTGCTGGCTGCATCCTGGCTTTAAATCATCACCTGACCAATCATTTTTCTCTGACTGGTCAGGTGACAAAGGGCAGCAGGCTGTTCCTTCTGGGAAATGTGGTGGAGGCGAGTCTCTTTATCCTGTCTCCTTTGGTCATTCTTTCACATTGTATACAGTATATCCTGGAACTGGCTGACTCATCTTCATTAATGATGTAACTACTGATGACAACAGCAGAGTGAATTGTGAAGTTTACAGAAGCATTTTGTGTGCTTCAGTAGGAGAAAATACTTCCATCCTTATTTCTGTTGAAAATGGCATTTGTCAGTGTGTGACTCAGAAAATCTATTTGTACATTGTCTTAAACAAGAAGAAATGTAGCCGCACAGCAAAAGCTGACAGAAATATTATTTTGTATTCGGTAGATGCTACTTTGAACTTCTGAAACCCATTGGCTGTCTATGCTGTCTTGACAGATTTAAATGTATTCTGATTTTAAAGATGGTGTGAGGGCAGTAGGAGACCAACAACTTTGTTAAAGGAGTTTAAAAGTGAAAACGCATTTGAAAAGATATGCAAATAAATACTGACCAGACTGAGTCCACTACATAGGAGCAGTGCGTAGCTGATTCAGGTCTCACTAAGAGATCAGTGCACAATGGTTGCCGGTCTGGGAAAAACTGGATGATATCAGAAAAAATATGGTCAATTTTTAATTAGTTTTAAATAAATGAGAAACCTAACCTCTATTCTTTGGTTTTACATTTCTAAATAGATAACATGGACAGGCAATAAAATAGTCAACAAATTAATATTGGAACCGATATTGTGGCCCACATACTACAGATCACAGTTATAACAAGATGGGTAACTGAAGGGGCTCATAGTTCATTGCTGAACTAAATATGCAGGGCAAAGATTGCTTTGAAAACAACAAAATGCCCAAAATTTGAACAAACTAAAAAGCAGAAGCAGGGTGAAACGTTTTTGAAGAATAGCACTTTAGGAAATTCATAACTGGTCTTGTGGAAGATGGCTGTCTTAATGCTCTCTTGGCTTTCAAATCAAATTGAAAAAAACAATGCTTCTTTTGAGCTCATGCCCAGTAGATAAATCTATTTCTGTCAAGGACACAAATTCTGCAGATAAAAGAATTGAAGATAATACTTGGCTCCCTTTTCTGAGTTTGCTGAGAGACGCAGTACACACTAGAGACTCACTAATTCTCGACTGCGCCAGAGCTAATTCCTTGCCAATCTGATGATAATGTGACCGGTGAATGTTAATTGAGTTTGGTTATATAGCTTCAATGAGCATTTCACGGATATTGAGAGAGGATTTTTGCAATGGTTTTTATTCCAGAAGAGTCATTTAATGCTGCTTTTATTTGCTACAAAAAAGGTGTTGAGAAAAAAACCTTAATGAAACACATGAAAGCCAGCAAAAAAACGGCTTCAATGAGAAAAGACAATTATTTCTAAAGGTTGGATACCATGTTTTTCTTTTGTGAGAAAAAAATATTTTTCTGGTCAGTAATGACTGTAATTTGATGAATTTTATGGTCACGTTTCTAAAATAATTTAAAAAGCTTCAGTTCTGCCTTTACCATGATCATCCCTGTCACATTTTTTGATAAGCTGGCGGAGATGGTACAGTATTAATCAGATTTCAGATTGATCTCCGATTTCAGATTCAGATCCAGTCAAAAAGTTCGCCAATGGCACTACTCTCATAGGGCTCATCACAAACAACGAATTACAAGTCAGCAAACAGGAATGAAATAGATGACTTAGATAAATGGTGAAGCCTAAACAACCTAGAACTAAACGTCTGAAAAACAAAAGAACTTGTGATGGACTTTAGACAAAGCAAAGGAGCACTCTCACCAATATTCATGAATGGTCAGGCTGTAGAGGTGGTGGAGAATTTTAAGTTCCTGGGCACCTCCACCTCCAACACTCTAAAATGGGAGGTCAACTCATCCATCATGGTCAAGAAAGCTCATCAGAGGCTGTTCTTTCTGAGACAGTTAAAGGGGCTTGGAGTGTCACAGGAAGCAATGACCCTTTTCAACAGATCTGTCATTGAGAGTGTTTTGACCTTCTCCATCACTGTTTGGTATGGCAACACTTCTGTCCAGGACAAGAAGCAGCTAGAGACAGAAGTGTATAGAGCCTCCAGGATTGCAGGATGCCACCTTCCCTAAGTGGACTCACTCTATCTCTCTAGTTTAATCCTCTAGAAAGATCCTCACCAACCTTTCCCACCCTGCCAACCTGTGTTTACTTCCCTCCCCTCTGGTAGGCAGTCTAGGTCTATTAAGACAAGGTCTGCTGGGTCCTGTAATGGCACCTACCTGTACTTGGAAGCTGTGATGTGGCATTAACTCTGCACTTTAACCTTTGATCTTTTTGCATGGCTCGTTTGTTACTCCTCCAGGCCCCAAAGTTATTTAGTGTTTTTCACTGTTATTTATTTTATTACTGCTGAGTTTTAGGATGGTGTGTGAATGCGTTTGGTGGATGCATTCTGTTATTGGCTTTATGTTATAAATTTGTATTGTATTGAGCTCACCAAATCAAATTCCATGCAACTAGTTGTTATGGCAATAAAGTATTGACCATGAACTTGAAGAATTTGCAGGAGGAAAATTTCCTGTAATAACACTTTGCAAATAAAACTTAATAGTGATTAGTTTAGAAAGACTAATTTGGCATGTTTTCTACATGTCATGGCCTTTTGCATCTTCAGTAAAATTCCCCCTCAAAAAACTAATGGCCAGTTTGTTAGCCATGCCACTACATTCACTCATTGGCTATCTCTCACAAATGTAGGTGTCTTCCATGAAGCCTAAGTTAACTGTCAGACTATTATGGGATCAATCAGCACACTCTCTGGTGGGTTGATCAATTGTTTATTGTGAGAGGTTAGGTTGTGCATGGACAGTACAGCCATGTTGAGCTGTCGCAGATACTCTTATTCTGCAGCGTCTTGTTTTGATACCTTTGTGTCTGAAAGTGGGCTTACAGTATTCCCATACAGTATATCATCTCTGCATCTACCTCAGTCAAGGGCATAAACTCCCTAGAACTGATCAATCAAGAGCAGAGGCTCTTCCACAAGACGAATGAAATGTTTTAGGAAAATACTTGAAATGATGTTGCCTGCAATGGGCAGCAGAGAGGTTAAGTTTTGGAATGTCCACAGCTGGATGTGTCTTCTTTCTTGAAGACTGTCACAATCACGGCATCGTGACAATAATTTGGGATTATTTTGCCTTCATTTCGGATTCCAGCACTGAAGAAGTACTCCAGCCTGGTGGGGACAAGTAATTTCTGCCTCTATGAGCCTAATACACCGCTATGAAACATCACCTATTACTGTACAGTACATCCCATTCCAAGTCATTAAAAAACCCAGTTACACTGGTGTCAGTGCTGGCTAGTCAGATACTGTGCTAGCCACTGCCCATATTCACAAAGCATCCAGCATGCTTAATTTCTGTGCCACTGTATTTCTTTTTAGTAGGAATAAAAAGTGTCAATGTAGCCCATAGTTAACCATTTATTAATATGGCCCCTGTAAGTAAGACACACAGAAGACACTGTATAACATAATATAATATTTTAGGCCTTTCTTTGGTATGAAACAGTGTTTTTATGGACAAAAAATCCCATCAACACTCTGATCTTTACTGCAGCCAATTTGCATGCAGATAGGTAAAAACACAAGTCCCCAGTGTAATGTTAAGATGGTAAAACACAAATAATCAATGTGAAGATACTATGTTACAGACCCATTTATCAGGCCTCGCTGGTGTCCTTCCAGAAACCTTCTGGAGAATTCTTGTTGGAAATGGGTTTTCACAGATACAATGAGCAGCCAGCAAAATACGAATTGTTTACATCTTATGGATAAGCATGTCAATGACGATGACACAAATGTATTGTACTGTGATGTTTTGTGCTTTAACTGCTCAGTAATAACAAGAGAGATAGAAGATAATGTTACGTCATGGCATTCCCTTCAAAATAGATTAATGATAGGGTTAATTATTTTGAAGGCCTATGTGACGCATTTTGAAAGGTCTTTAAACAGCTACAGTACAGTCTAAAATTCAATTGAAATAAAAATAAAATAAGTAACATTGTACAGTGATAAGGCATATTGACAACCTGTTTATAAAATTCAAATAGTATCTTAGTAAAAGATGAACAGCATATATATTAGAGGGGTGGTTTATTCACCCCATTATTTTGTGTTCTTATTTGTGCGCTCCGCTTGTCATCTGCTGTTCTTAAGCCAAAGTCATTACCACTCGCACACTTTTCTGTTTTCTCTTTTACTCTTAATACATTTTATATCAGATGAGAGAAATCTAATCTTCACCTTAAATTAATCCAATTGACGGGAGAAGATTAGATCTGAGATTAAAGTTTTTGTGTCTCCAGATAAAATGGATTCATTTACAGAACAGTTTGTTTGGTGGCAACCGTCAGCTGCATCCTCAAACACACCTCTTATTTCTACAAAAAGGTAGAAATATTGGACATCCCTCACGGAACAGATACCTTCTGAATGAAGCTAGTTTTGCATGACTTTCTTTCCTATTCCTGTTTATTTGTTCATAAACTTGATAAAATAAGTGATTATTAAAAAAACCCGCAAGCCAAACTTGTCTCCGATTTTCCCTCATTCTTACAAAGGAATTTTAAACTTTAAAAGAGGTAACATCTGTGTGAAAATAACGTGGGATGTTTTTTTCCCCAATTCAAACATAGCTTGGGTATTTGACTTGGATTGTAAAAGACTATTTTTAGAAATCTTTAAATCTCATCCTTCTAGGCACCTGAATCAAAAAGAGGACCTACTAGATCTGATGGACAACAATCAGTCCAAAACTAATTATACCATCTGCACTGCAAAGTAATAGATTCAGAGTAAACTATTCAATTTCTTTTTAAATGTATGAAACGTATTGTCAACCAATGACTCTAGCAATGCCCGAGGGCTTGTCTTCAATCATAGAATAACCATAGAGACATTTCCCTGTACCCAGAATTTA